TGGTGAGATTTGAACTTGCAGTAATTGCAGGCAGTTGATGTTAATAACAGTGCTTTAGTCTGCTGCGCCACCAGGGCTCTGATTTACAAAGAATACAGATCTAATGAGGGGGTCTGTGTGCACATTGCTTAGCAATGGGATGAAGTTAAGGAATATGGCCATGCAAATCTTCAGCCTGATTAAAATCTTACATTCAAAATGCAAATTTCAATCCAGTTCTAATTCAATGTGTCAAAGGGATGCCTCCAGATCAATTCACCCACCACTCTACATTAAATTAGATTAATTTATCTTAATTGAGTTGAATTTGAATAGAATCATATCCTTGTAGTAAGACTACATAGGGCATATAATAATGTGGTCAATGGTGGAATTTAGATGGTTGCTGTCGTTAATAGCCCATATTAGGTAAAAGAGAAGAACAAATAACTTCAATAATATGCAATTCTGAAGATTTCTTCAGCTGGACTAGCTTAGACCTTTCTTTTTCTTCTATGGGAAGATACCTATGTCTTTCATATGGCCCTTATCCTATTCTGCAACCATTGGTCCCTACAGTAAGGGAAAATTCCACATTCTAGTGTCTACTGAAGTCTCCACTAAACCCATATTCTTTCACAAAGATGGGCCTTAAGAGGCTGACATTAGCCAATTACATTATATTGCTTTCCTAAATTGTTTTAGCAAATTTCCTAAATTGTTTTCTGAGCCAGAGAGACAATTAGGAACAGAATTGGTTGCCACAATATAAAAAAGATGTCGAGACTCTGGAAAGAGTGCAGAGAAGAGCAAGAAAGATAATTAGAGGGCTGGAGGCTAAAAACTATTTACCAAAGCACCAGAAGGCAAGACAAGAACCAATGGATGAAACGTAATCAAGGAGAGAAGCAACCTAGAACTAAGGAGAAATTTCCCAACAGTGAGAACAATCAACAATGGAATGGCTTGCCTTCAGAAGTTGTGGGTGCCCCGTTATTGGAGGCTTTCACAAGACAGCCTTTTGTCTGAAATAGTATAGATTCTCCTGCTTGAGCACAGAATTGGGTTAGGTGACTTCCACGGCGCCTTCCATCTCTGTTACTCCATGTTCTACAAAAGGACAAATGTAGAGAATTGAGAAGAAGCCCACTCACCTACATGACAGAACAAACTATCCATACAATAGATTTGGGTATAAATGTGTAGAAACAAACTTATGGGAAGGGCTGGCAAGAGCTACTAAATTGGATTCCATTCCTTTTGCCAGATTTCCCAGCCTAGAAATCACAAACTTCCTGGTACTTCAGAGCATACTTGGAATCTTTATGGATGATTCTGTTGATATCTCTCAGACACAGTTGAGCTAGAATGAAGTATCTGCAGTTGATTGCCTATGAAAGTGCAAGATGTCTACGCTTTAAATTCAAGGGTTTCTCCTCTCATCTTTTTGAACTGATACTTGACACAACAAATTGTAACTTTGAAGTCTAATGGTTTTTGTATGTTCATTTAAGGTCAACCTATGTCCTGAGAACTTTCAGGCTCCTGCCTTGTCCATCACAATTCTGATACTTGCAGAGCTAATGGAGTTCATTTACAGCTTACTTTTCCTACTCAAAATTCCGCAGTTTTGTGATAAATTCATTGTTTAATATATGGTTCTATTTGAAACCAAGGACAGAAAGAACAGGCATTACATCAGGAAAACTACAGATAGTCGTCACTTTACTACCATAAAGGAGCCTGTAATTTTTGTTGTAAGTCATTATGGTCATAAGTCAAGGCACCCATGTGACTGATCTGATTTTTTTTTTTTTTTTTTTTTGCAGTGGTTGTTAAATGGCAGTTCTAACGTGAATCCATTCATTCCTATGCATGTTTTATTTATTCAAAAACTGGGCCAACTGGCAAAAAAACATTGTAAATTGTAGTCACATGGCCACAGAAGGGTGAGATAGTTGCCAAGAACCTGAAATGCAGTCATGTCACTGCACAAGAGTCCCCACATCAGAACTCCACAATCGGATCATAAGTAGTTTTTGGGATGTCTGTTGTAATTTTAAACAGTTGCTAAGCAACCAAACATTAAGCAAAAACTACCTGTGTTGGTAGTGGTTTGTTCTCTGAGCTTCTTGTTCACTTTCCGAACATTTTATCACCAGGCTAAGTAACATCATCAGTGGAACAAGTTCGGAGAACAAACCACCACCATCTAACACCTGAGCTACAAATATTTCCCATCGTTTCTAAGGACTAACTGTATCCAAAAATATATATCTAGCCAGGAATAACATCAAAGAAATTTCCATCACCTAAAAGATGTCTTCTCGAATTTATATTAACTGATACAAATTCTAGATGAAGTTTGGTATAAAAGCTTCATGGGTTTTAGAAAGTTGTGAAAGAAATGGATATTTTTTTTTAATTTAACAAGACCATTTTAAAAACCTTAGCAGACATAGGTAGCTTTACCAACATTGATAATAAAATGTACTTATCGATGTATTGGAAAGTTGCATTCTTGCCACTTAATGCTCACTTTCGTTTGTCTCTTGGAAATAGGTATTTAAAGATCTAACACTTCTGAACAAACTGAAAATGGAGTTTTTCCTGCAAGCGTTGCCTTCAAATTCAGCACCCAATATGAATTCTATACCATGGGGAGAAATAGTGTGAATATATCTAAAGGCCGTAGGATCCCAGAATAGCTGGTTCAGAATTTACTTTGCTACTGAAATGTCCAACCTGAAAATATTAAACATGCAGTCTTAGAGGGGAAATGGCTCATTTGAGGGATAAATTGGGCAGTTTCAGCACAACAATTTAAGCTGTTGGACATTGCTTGTGTCTGACTCATAATGAAACTATCAAAAGAAAATCACTTTAGAAATTTCTTTTCTCCCAAGAGAGAGCCCAGAATCTGCAACATCACATCTAAACATTGGATAAAGATAAAAGGGAAAAAAATATCAAAGAATTCCTGCAAGGGCTGCAAGAATTAGAAAAGCAATAACAGTGGCATTCCCACCTCCACCTTTTTAAGAGGAGCATTAAGCTAATAACTTTGAGTCTGGAAAAATTACATGGGAGTTGCTATAGTCTCTAGTGACTTATCTTTCCTTCATTAAAAATGTGATCACTTTAGGAAACACTTCAAAGTTCCTTAGAGATAATGCTGATTCTAAAATATGATCATTCTAAGAGGAATTAAGAAAATCTGCTTTGTACCTTCACAGGTTTTTCATCTGACTTGTGAAGTATAAATAAGAATTAATAAAATTTTGTTGGGAAAAGACAGTACACAGTTCCCTAATCTGTGGCCTGGGCATTTCCCTCTCCATAGCTACTACAAAGCAAATCTCAATGCACAGTTTTTGATAGATGGTTTGATATTTCGGTGGAAATAAACTCTGCAGAAGCTCTATGTATCTGTCTTAAGCATATTCTGGAACACTCTTGGCATTGCCAGATCAAACAAAAAGTCTTGTTAAATCTATCTGAAATTTAGATCAAGCTAAATCCAGCTTGGGTTAGCAAAACAATATTCTAATCCATCATTTTTAATTATTCATTGACTGGTTAGTTCCATACAAATATCCATAACTGTTTTAATTTGCCATTATCATTAATATGTGATAGTTTTAGACAGAATTTCCCTATACAAGAATTATCCGGCCATAAATGTTAACTTCCTCAAAGTTTGTAAGCAATATAGAGAAAAATTACATGTTTGAATATGGCTAATCTTACACAACCATTAAATACAATCAGTACAAATCAATCAATACAATACAAAGTACAATACAAGCTTACACAATTATTAAATAATCATTAAAATTGAAACAGCTAATATAGACACCAATCAATAATTTTTTACCAATGTACTGGTATATTAATAAAGAGGGTTTAAGCCAAGAATATATGAGGAAAGATGCATATCTCTTAATTCCAAAATTGATTTTGGAGAAAAATGGCCTCAATGTATTTTTTTTCTCTGCTGAAAATATGCAAGTAAGCAAACTAAAATGACATGTGGAAACAAATCATGCATACAATGTTGCCAGGTTTTATTACTAGTTTATTAATATGTAAATTAAGAGTTAATTGTGTATTTTTTCTCCAACTTGAATCCAAGTACAATTGGTTGTCTTTTCATGAATGGCTTGCCTAGGTTTATTTATCATTTTATGGGTTGTAGTTAGGGAATCCCTGCTCTAAAATCCCCATTTCCTTTTAATGAAAATTTCCCTTATATTATTTGTTCTTTCACAGGAAGAAAGGAAGGAAGGAAGGAAGGAAGGAAGGAAGGAAGGAAGGAAGGAAGGAAGGAAGGAAGGAATTCAGTATTTTAAAAGAATTAAGCTTTAGCAGTACAAAACAATTTGCATCACCAGGACTGTACTATTCCCCTTTTTAAGATACCACAATGGTGAGGTCTATTTCTTCCAAGCACTTTGCATCATTCTAGTGTCACTTCTGGGTAAACAGAAGTGGTGCCATGTGGGTGTACAAATCAACCCTCCCAATAGTTCACTGGAAAGTTTAGAAGAAGCCACCAGGGAGGGAAATAATGTAGTAATTTTGCCTTCCTCTTTTGAAGTGGAGAAAGGCGGTCATTGCTTCACAACCCAACTATAGAGTACTGCGTTGCATGAAACAGTGACAAAGTGAAAAGCTCTTTTGAAGTATGAAGTGGTAAAAATGTCTCTCCTCTTGCCTGTCTTCCCATTCGTTTCCTGTTCCCTCTTTTATCCTTAACAATGATTGTCTCAAGATATACTCAGCTGCAAAGTTGATTCCAAAGAGTTGCCTCCTTCAATCCTGAGCAGGCTAAATGCAAAAGATACCAGAGGACCTTGTTCCCCAAGACTGGTTAAGATCTTCTCCAAGTCAGGTTTTTTAAAAGAAAACATTTGGCAAGTCCCAAATTTAGTGAGATAACTATCTCTGTGCATTTCTTCTTTTTGTGGCTTTCTTTACCTTCATCTTTTTTTTTTTAATTTGATTTATATGCCGCCCTTCTCCGAAGACTCAGGGTGGCTTACAATGTGCTCAGCAATAGCCTTCATCCTTTTGTATATTTATACAAAGTCAGCTTATTGCCCCCACAAACTGGGTCCTCATTTCACCTACCTTAGAAAGGATGGAAGGCTGAGTCAACCTTGAGCCTTGGCGAGATTCGCTGTGAAAGACGGAAAAGGCAGGTGGCTTTCCAGAATCTGGCCAGAACATCTCAGGAGAGCTTCAGCTGGTTGACAGTGACCAACTGTGCAAAGAGAACACAGAGCTTGGTGGTAAACAAAAAAGGAGGAAAAACAGAGCTGAGCATCCAAAAACCTGATGTATCTTCATCTAATGATCTCCATGTTGCTGTGCCAATTATTGCCAAACCCAGTCCTGGTTACATAGGAAACATGGTTCTCAAAGTAGGCAACAAGCGATATAAACCAAAAGATTATCTTTCCTCCCAACCCCTCTGAAAAATAGCAATTGCCAACCAGTGGTTACATCTGTGGAACTGACATATTTTAGCCAGAGGAGGGGTCATGAGTTCTGACTCTGCACTTGTGATATTTACAGAATCCCATTTTCCTCTAGGACAGGAATCACAGTTATAGAGGAAAAGAATGCCAAAGCAATTAGTAGCTTTTATTATTGCTCCAAAGACTTAGGGTTACATGCATCTCAACCTATTCAGAAGTTAGAGCAAGACACGGAGAAGAACACGGATCCAGGAGCTCTTTCTACCCGTGGACTGCCTAGCTGCCTGTTCCAGTGCGGTGAAATGGTGGCTCTAACTTTCATTTTCTATGACATTGACTCAGCTGTTGAACTTTTGCCAGGCCCAATGGCTTGACAATGGTGTCCAATTTTTATTTTTTTTCCTTTTTGCTTCTTTTGCCTCTATAAGAAAGCCCTTTAAAAATCTAAATCTGACCTGCCGTAAGCATTGAAAAAATTGCTGTGAAAAGCCATTCAAAACCAAACAGCAAGACTCACCATCCACTGTCAAAAGAAAGAGCGGCATGAGGAGCAATTCAAACAAGTCAACAGGAAACCCTGAAAAAGACTTCATTATATATATATAAATGATATTTCTATATGAGGAGGGAGAAATCAACATACTTAAGATGAAAGGGAGAAATTAACACACTTATGTGAACACTTTAACTAACTTCCGATGAACTACTAACACAAACGCATATATAAACACTCCTGCCTGAGCAGGGGGTTGGACTAGAAGACCTCCAAGGTCCCTTCCATTTCTATTCTGATTGATTGATTGAGCAATTGATTGACATACCACTGTTCCACAAACTATGTTCTCCTTTTCACACATACACACACACACACACTGTTTCCTATAAATTTAAGCCCCTGGAAACAATACTTTTGTTGACTACCTTTTTGGGAGACAACCTCTGTGCTGTTCTCTTGAAAATTAAATGGAGAACTTCCTCTTCTAGCCCCCTGCCTTTGAGTATTCATTTCCAGCTTTGATCTTCCAACAATGGTATGAGAGCTCTAACATCAGACACAGAAGCATAGGAGGTCTTCCAGAAATTTTGAACTGCCAGTCTTGTATACCTTTGCCATTGGTCCTTCTGGTTGAGTATCAAAAATTTGGAAGTCATCTAAATTGCTAACCTGAGATTAACTATAAGGCTGAATGATGTGATATCACTACCCCAAAATATTTAAGAGAAGCATGTTGGTCCCCAAAGGTCAGGCACAATTTCAGTATTATTCCTGCAGGACTACCTCCAGCAGGAAACTCATGTATAACAGAATAAGAGTTGGAAGGGACCTTGGAGGTCTTCTAGTCCAATCCCCTGCTCAAGCAGGAGACTCTATGCCATTTCAGACAAATGACTGTCCAATTTCTTCTTAAAAATCTCCAGTGATGAAGGACCCACAACTTCTGAAGGCAAGCAATTCCACTGTTAATTGTTCCCATTGTCAGGAAATTTCTTCTTAATTCTAGGTTGGTTCTCTTCTTGATAAGTTTCCAACCATTGCTCCTTGTTTTGCCTTCAGGTGCTTTGGAGAATAGATTGACTACCTCTTCTTTGTGGCAGCCCCTTAGATACTGGAACACTGCTATTATGTCACTCTTACTTCTTTTTTTCATTAAAGTAGACATACCCAATTCCTTCAATAAAGTATATTATAAAATATACCGATGAAGTATACTTTATTGGGATTCTCTCCAGAATGAGAATCTCATGCTCCAGAAACCAGGCACCCTTTGTGAGAGACCAAGGGGAGCAAAGTGTGTGTGTGGGGGGGGGGGCTACCAGTGCCATTTATTTGGCAGTCATTGTCAGCCCTGGAGGCCATCTTTTCTTTTGGATCTTCAGGGCTGCCACACTTAGTGCTGTGGGAAAGTTGGAGGGGGGTTGTATGGAGTTGGTAGAGTTATTTAGCCATAACAACATTCTTTTCTCTAAGAGTCAAGGATGTTCAGCCTGCACCTGGAGTGGCGTGACTGGGAGGCATCTCCAGTTGAGACAGTGGATTGATTGGATCATGTGATGGACATGTAGGTGCAGGGGAAAGGACTTTGACTTTCTTTTGGGTGGGGAAAACCCAGGAGCTTTCAGATTCAGGTTTTCCCAGATGTGCCAATATGACATCTCCAATAAAATGGATCATTGAGGAATTGATTGCCTCAGTCGTACTTGGTTGGGGGTGTTACTTGGAACCCTGACAGTCATGTTTATTCATTACCAAAGAGGTAAATTTCTTGTAAACATATTTACAGCTGAGATGTTAATTGCAGAAGCCCATAGGATTTCACAGATATGCTTGTTTTTCAGTGGAACAATAGCCTTGATGAGCCTAACATAAAACGGCACCATCTCTTCCCCATGGCAACATTATTTGTAGCTGAGGACGTCTGTGAGCTGCACTCCAAAAAGGAAAGGGCAGCTGTCAGAAGGTGATCTCCATGACACAGTCAGAAGTCTTGACTGCTTTAATTGACATTTCTGGGAAGGATTAATTTAATGCTGGAGGGAAGTGAAAATGGATTCTGCTGTCACCTGAGCAGTTATTTATGGACGTGCCTAACAGAACGCAGGCAGAAATAATGGTGGACTTGAAGTGCTCTTTTGGTTTCTGTTAACATAACTTGAATAGGAATGCAAATACAGCATTTTCACTTGAATCTGCGAAACAAAAGAATGACAGTTGTGGCACATTTTGTTGAGCTCAAAGTTTCCTTATGGATGAGAAAGCAAGAAGGAAACTTGGAAGAGTGCTGAAGCCATCATATTTCCCTGTGAATGGTCTGGAGATCACAAAGGTGGCAGTCCAGCATCTAAGGAGATGCACCCTTATATATAAGCTTCTCTTCCCCTCCCAATGCCACCATTTACTATTTTGAAACAGCTGCCTTAATATTATTTATCTTAGTTGTTCCAGGGGCCAGCAAGCCTAACCCACCCAAAGCCACAAACATAAGAGCCCTAGTGGCACAGTGGTTCAAATGCAGTATTTTATTTATTTATTTATTTTATTTTATTTGTATACCACCCTTCTCCAACAGGACTCAGGGCAGTGAACAGCCACGGTAAAACATAACATATAAAATTTAAAAGCAGTTTAAAAGACATTAAATAATTTTGGCCATCAATTTAAAACAACCCAGTTAAAACCAATTACAAATTAAAACCGAAAGGATGGGATCAAGCCAGCCCAGCTAGATGAAATAGATGTGTTTTCAGGGCCCGACAAAAAGTCCAGAGGTCTGGTATTGTGCATATCTCTGGGGGTAGATCATTCCAGAGGGCAGGTGCTGCCACAGAGAAGGCTCTCCCCCTGGGGGTCGCCGGCCGACATTGTCTGGCCGACAGCACCCTGAGTAGGCCCTCTCTGTGCGAGCGAACTGGCCGGTGGGAGGCTATTGGCGGCAGAAGGCGGTCTCATAAATACCCTGGCCCTAAGCCATGGAGCGCTTTAAAGGTTGTCACCAACTCCTTGAACTGCACCCGGAAGACCACAGGAAGCCAGTGCAGCTCGCGCAAGAGAGGTGTCACATGGGAGCGCCCCGTCGCTCCCATAATCCCCCATGCAGCCGCATTCTGGACCAACTGGAGCATCTGGGTGCACCCCAAGGGGAGCTCCATGTAGAGAGTATTGCAGTAGTCCAGGCGGGAAGTGACGAGTGCCTGAGTGACCGTATGTAGGGAGTCCTGATCTAGAAAGGGACGCAACTGGCGTATCAGGTGGACCTGATAAAAAGCCCCCCTGGCCACGGCCATCATATGCTCTTCTAAAGACAGCCGTGTATCCAGGAGGACGCCCAAGTTGCAAGCCCTCTCCGTGGGGGCCAATGATTCACCCACAATATCGGGATGCTGGAAGCCACAGCCACTCGGTCTTGGAAGGGTTGAGTCAGAGCCTGTTTCTCCCCATCCAGGCCCGCATGGCCTCCAGGCACCGGGACATCACTTCAAGGGCATCGTTGGAGTGGCCTGGGATGGAGATGTACAGCTGAGTGTCATCAGCGTACTGATGGAACTCCACCCCAAAGCCACGGATAATCTCACCCAGCGGCTTTACATAAATGTTGAACAGAAGGGGCGAGAGGACTGACCCTTGCGGCACCCCACAAACAAGGCGCCTCGGGGTCAACCGCTGCCCCCCTGTCAACACGGACTGTGACTGGTCAGAGAGGTAGGAGGAGAACCACTGCAAAATGGTGCCCCCACCCCCAACCCCTCCAACCAGTGCAACATGATACCATGGTCGATGGTATCAAAAGCCGCTGAGAGATCTAACAGGACCGGGATAGAGGAACAATCCCTATCCCGAACCCTCCAGAGATCATCCACCAATGCGACCAATGCCATTTCCATGCTGTGCCCAGGCCTGAAGCTGTACTGGAGCGGATCTAGATAGACAGCTTCATCCAGGTACTGTGGAAGCTGCCATGCCACCACATTCTCAACAACCTTCGCAGTAAAACGAAGGTTGGAGACTGGACAATAATTAGCCAAAACAGCCAGATCCAGAGAGGGCTTCTTGAGGAGGGGCTCACCACCGCTTCTTTCAAGGCGGCCAGTAGGACACCCTCGCTCAAGGAAGTGTTAATAATCCTCTGGAGCCAGCCTCATGTAACCTCCTGGAAAGCCAGCACCAACCAGGAGGGACACGGGTCCAATAAACATGTGGTCCCATAATCCTGTCCACGTCCTCGGGAGCCACAGGATCGAACTCCTCCCAGATAACACTCTCAAGACCTGCCTCAGTCGTCCCGTCTGGACTTACCCAGTCAGAGGCCAGGCCTTCTCGAATCCGAGCGATCTTGTCATGCAGATACTGTACAAAATCCTCAGCTCGACCCTGCAAGTATTGCAGGCTAATTCTGTCCACAGGCAGGAGTTCAATCCTGACAAGGCTCAAGGTTGACTCAGCCTTCCATCCTTCCAAGGTCAGTAAAATGTGGACCCAGATTAATTGAGGTCAATATGCTGACATTGGAAATTACCCAGAGAGTGCTGTAAAGCACTATGGGCAATATATAAGTCTAAGTGCTATTGCTGTTAGAAGAAATGAACCAGGGCTTAAGACAACCTATTGGAAGAGCACGTTGGAGGTTTGGCACAAAATTTCACTAGCACTGCCAGATGTAAAATCAGCAATACATTCCCATTGCATCCATCTTGGAAGAAAATGCATTTCGGGACCTAACATCCTGCAATGTTCCAGATCACTGTCCTATTTGTTACACTCTGCAGGTTTCTCCTTGGAGTGACATTGTGTTTAAATGACCTTTGATGACTTGGTATCTGAATGTTTCCCCAGATGATTCATTAACAGAGAGGGAGTTCGACCTCAAAATGTTGATTTCTCCCATCTGTAATTCTGGAATGTGCTACTCCCACCCCCACCCCCCAGTCAGAGAACTAACTGAAGCTTTAAGGGGACTGGTTTTTTTTACTATTTATGTATGCTCTGTACAAAAATATTTAACCCTCTTTTGTGCTTCAGTCCAGAACTTTTACAGTAATTGTGGGCAAGACATACATTACATTAAGTGCAGAAAGGTGGATAGAGGAGGAGGAGGAGGAGGAGGAGGAGGAGGAGGAGGAGGGCATTATCCCTTCAATTTCTTACTTCAGGGAATTTGCTTGTAGTCGAGCAAATTCCCTGATCATACAAAGATTTTTACTTGGCAAACGAATGTGAGAATAATTCACCTTCAATCAGGGATTAAGGATGAATATCCAAAGATGCTTATCTTCATGAAATTTGGACATGACGAACCTGACCTATATATAACCAGATCAGATTAATTGGCTATTTTAAGAAAAGTTATTATTGCTTGATTTGAGTTGGGGATGGGTGGGCTGTTTTAAGGGTGGTAATGAGAGCAGCGTCTTGAGGAGGCAAAATGATACAACAGCCAACCTTAAAAGCCTTAGCGCAGTTCCCAGAAGAAACAAACTGATGCTGAGGTGTCATTGAAAGAGAGAGCTTTCTTCTATCTAAAACCCTTTGCCCCTTGCTATGTTCATATTTGAGTAACATTGGACTTTGGCTTCTCTGGAATA